TAATTCAAAATATGATTATTTTTCAAAATTTACTTGAGAAAATATTCATTTTTTAATTTTTTTCAATCAATTTTTGGTTATTTTGATTTTTTGTCATTTTATTTGGGAAAATAATCATTTTTTTCAATTATTTTTCAATTTTTGTGTGAGAAAATATTCATTTTTTGACTATTTAATTTGGTCATTTTGCTTTTTTTTGGTGATTTAACTGCAGGAAAATAATCTTTTCTTTGATCATTTATTCAAAATTGTAATTTTTTTTTCAATTTTATTGGGAAAATATTAATTTTTAAAATTATTTAATTTTGAATTTTATTATTTTTTCAATTTTACTTGGAAAAATATAAATTTTTAAAATATTTTATTCATAATTTGATGATTTTTTAATTTTTACTTGGGAAAATAATCATTTTTTGGATTATTTTACTGAAATTATTGATTATTTGATTAGAAAACATTAAGTTTCCTCAAAAATCGCCCCTTGTGATTTGCCCCTTGGTTTTAACTATCTTTATCGGCAAACTCTTTCCTTTCGACGCGTAAATCGAACAAGTGACTTTGATGACTTCACAATATAGTTTCAAACTCATCACTTTTCCCAAAAACACTTTGTAGCGTCAATTGTCGCTGGGCGAGTGTCCTTTTGTGCCCTAAATAGCTGAGTGTTTGTCTAATTTGTCCCTCTTCTGCTGCTGCTACAGCAAATGGAAGCTTGGACAAATGTTGAGACAGACTCGGGTTGGTAAAAACAACAAGTGTGTGTGCGAGTTGAGAAAATTGCGAGTGAAGTTTGTGAAACGGTGTGTCTGTCAATATTGGCAGTGCAGGTGAAATTTCTAATTGAATTTCCAACTGCAGCCAACGATCATAGAGCCCTGCGACAATTCCTCCTCCTCCTGCCAAGGGGGAGATATTCATTTGGAAACTATTTGCCCGTGGAATTGCTTGAATATTTCCAAGAATCAGTGTTGGGCGAATTTTTTACATTTTTACTTTTACACAATTCTTTACATGGTAAAAAATGTTTTCTTTACACACAATTTTTTTTACATGTAAAGAAAAAATGTAAAATATGAAAATTGGGTTCAATTTTTCGAATCGAACATTCGTTAATAACGGGAAATTTACTTCAGGCGTTTTTCCATGAAGCCAAAATCATTAGAAGAGTTTTGTGAATTTTACACCCTCGTTTAGGCAATTAAGACCAAAATGTGCAGACAGATTTCTCGGTTTTATGATTCTTAGGCAAAACTTTAATCTCTTGCAATCCTTGAAGTTCATGCCAAGATATTTGCTAAACATGGGTTTTTCCCGCTGTGCATTCTGGATAAGCATAATAAGCAACTGTCACATTGTCCTTTTCTGTCCAGGAATGTGAAGATGATCTCTGAAGAGCCGTTTTTAGTTCGGAATTGGCCATCGAAGCATATCCTGCGGGCGTCTATGGGGTTCCTGGGATGTCCGAAGCGCTTGTCAGAAGACTCAAGTGTGCTTAAAGTGGTTTTTATTCGCCAAAAAAGCAACGAAATGAAGCAATCGGCATGAAAATCGTCTTCTCTTGCCCAAAATCCAAGAATGAAGTTCATAAAATGCGATCCGACATTCCATAGACCTGTCCATTGCTGGATGGACTTTCTTCTTCCTTGCTTGGTGTTTTCCTCGATGGTTAATCGGCAGCAGAAGCACCTCGAAAAGAATACAACAAAAAATACGTTCAATTAGCAAATTTTCTTGTAAAATTAGAGAAAAAACTTCGATATTCCATCAAACAAATGTATTGGAACATCAGTTGTTGAATTATTAACTTACCTTACTCAATTATGCCAACAATTTGCAGATTTTCCTGAGTTTTCACTGTTTCTTTACAATTTTGCGACTTCTCGCGTATGTGACAAAAAGTATTTTCTGCCCCAATTCCACGGGAATTCCACGGGAATTCCACGGGAATTTCAGTAGTTTTTTTAAACTTCAGAAAAGAATTTTTACATTTTACATTTTACTTTACATTTTACATTTTTTACACATTCTTTACGTGTAAAATGTAAAGAGGTATTTTTTACCATGTAAAGGCACAACACTGCTGATGTGGTTGATGCTGGATCGTAGACTGCATATTGGCTCGGTGTTGATATCTTCTCGACGACAGGATTGATGCCGGTTTCCATTTAAGCACTTGATATGAGTGGGAATTATCGATATTTTATGTGCTCCTGGGCTTTTCCTTTCCACCACTTTCACTATCTTTTAGTCAATGTCTTTCTTTTACACAGTGTGATCCTCGTATTTTAGAGCTGTATTGGCACAGCTTCGTTGCGGCGGCGAGATAACTCTTCTTGTATTATAATCTCTCAAGAAGCGGCGCACTCGGTGCGTTACGTATCCCACAATCATCAGTGCTAGGATTAACAATTAAGATGACAAGCGCGAGTTCGGTTAGAGTTACATCCTCTATGTCCTTGCTGGATATCATTCGGTATTTCCACCTCCGTTTTGGGCTATGATAACTTCTTCTTTACTCTGCGGTTTTCCCATGGTGCCGATTTTCTCGATGTTAGGAACTATATTTTAGTATTCATTTATCAATTTTCTTTTTTTTTCCACTGTTTTTCGCACACTTTGCACTAAGTCAATAACTTTGAAGATCACTTCGGTTTGAGTGGCAGGATCGCCATGCGATGTCCCAATCAAATGCAAAGACGATGTGTTCGTTTGCGATCAGTTTATTGACTACATCATTTCTTCAACTGTCTCCAATAATTTGGAGAAGCCGTGCAATGGCTTGTGGGAACCTTACATTGCATTTCTTTTACGTGCGTCACAGCGTACGTCAATGCACTTGCTTTGTCAGCATCCGGTTTTAACCCATCAACCATCACAAAACTGACTTTAAGCATAATTAAGTGATTGAATAACATCGGAAAACCCCAAATTTATCACTTTCATGAAGAAATCTGATGAAAATCACAAGTTTTCAATGTTGAACTGTGTTAATTAAAGCTAAAATTGACACATAACCTCTAAAATACTGCTGAAGATTACAAAATTGTCAATTTTAAGAGCCTTTTGATTGATTTTCTACTCTAAAATTGCAATTTAACCTTATTTTCAATATAATAGACTAAAATTCTCCAAATTTGCCCGCAAAACGTTCCGAATGAGTTTCTTTCAAAGATTCTTTCAGACAATTCAAAGAAGTTTTTTAGGTTATATGTCAAAAGTACATTCAGAAAAGTGATTTAAAATTGAACCACATAAAAAATATGCTCAAAACTTCAAATATTTCTCAGAAAACTGTTTCTCAACAGAGTTTTCAGGCTCATAAAAGTAAAAATTGCATTTTTTCTGGAGAAAGAGTCCTAAATTTGAGGTTATGTTAATGTTAGGCGGGTTGGAAAAATCTATAAAGTTCCGAAAAAAGGTTATGTTTGACTAAAATCACTTTCTAGTGTTAGTTTTTATCTAAAAATCCTCACTTTTTACCTTTTTTCAGACAATAAGGACGATTTTGCTTATAAGAATTTGCTTTAGATTGTTTTTCTTATTTGTTTTTCACCATAACCTCAAAAATAACACAAAATGATCGATTATAAATTAAAAATGCATGGCAAATAGAGTAATTTTAACAGTCAAAATTCTCTTTTTCTCTTAAAATTTCAAGTCTTACATCAAAATTCAGTGTAAAGTTGTTAAAATGATAATTTTCAGACTCTAAAACACATAATTGAGGTTATGTTTTACTTTAACGCGTTTTTAAGAGTCATTTTTATCTAAAAATCCTAACTTTAGCCTTATTTCAGAGATTTCAGGCGATATTCCTTGTAAAAATCATGCTGAAAATCATTTTTCTTGTTTGTTTTTCATCATAACCTCAAAAATAATACAAAATTATCTTAATTCATGACAAATAAAGCATTTTCAAAGGTCAAAATTCTCTCTGAAGCGCAAAAATTCACGTTTAATTTCTACTTTCAAATTGCAAATTTCACTTCATTCTTGATTAATATTAGATTATTATTCCCCAAATTTGTCTTTAAAACAACAAGAATGAGTTTCTTTTAAGGAATATTTTCGATAAATCAAGATAATTTTGAGGTTATGGTCAAAATTTCATCAAAATATCTCAGCGAGCTAAAATACTTAAAAAAAAAGCAGTTAATTTAGCTAAAAAGTGCTAAAATTTGAACAGCAATCGACATAAAAATGTATTAAAAATACATCAATTTGTAGTACATTTTTAAGCTAAATTTTTCATCAATTTTCTTAGCATTCTTCAAATTTTTCCGAATTTTTCTGCTCTTTTTCGCTAAACAACACTGTGCTCAATTTTGAGCTTTTTTCTGATTGAAATGAAGCAGGAAAACCGGAAGTCTAACTTCCATGGACTTTCCTTCAATCCTCTCATTTTTGAGGTTATTTTCATGGCGCTCTTTATACAATTCACTTGAGTGTTGATAGCATGAAGTATATTATTGAAATGGCATCGCTTTGCATGATGCGACATCTGTACATTTAAGTGCCGAATCAGTAGTTTGACTGTTTGTCGCTACATTTGCTAGTGTATCAATCGAATTGCTAAAATTTGAGCGAAAAATAGCTTAAAAATCAACTATTTCAAGCTCAACTTTTGAAACTGAGCATTTTATGTTCGCTAAGATGCGCTGAAAACTTCAAATCAATCCTAAAAACAGATTCTCTGGAAGTTTTAAGAGTCGCACGGATAAAAAATGGCGTCATTTTAGGTCTAAAACTCTTAAATTTGAGGTTATGATACTTAAAAAGTTCGTAAAGTAAGAAAAACTCATGTTTTAAGCACTGCTGAAGGGCAGGAATTGTCTGTGATTCTTCCGCAGAAATTGTGGAAGTGACAGGAAGTGTTAAACACTGTTTTAACCGCATTATCTCCCCCTTGACTGCTGACTGTCGTGCTGAAAAGCAAATAAATTTAATGGTGGTGTCTTATTTAAATTCCCTCACACTTCTCCCTTTTTCCATCTCTACAGGTAATGCCGACCGTACAATTGTCGAAGCTGTCGAATCTAACGAATTTATCACTGAGTGGAAATAGTTTCTCATATTTGCCCGCGGTGGCGCTATTGAATTTATTCAACTTGCGAGAGCTGCAACTCGATCGTCTCGAGCGCTTGACTCGAATTGATTCACGGTGAGTAAACATTAATTGCTTGCTCATGCTAATTAATCGTAAATAGCTCGGGATGGTGTGTTTTCTCACTCTGGAGGAAAAGCCACCCCCCACCCCCACCCCCACCCCGAGCCGCCGACCAGGGGGAAAATTGAAAGCCAAAAACACACACACATGGAAAATTTATTCAGAGTGAAATTGAAATAATTCTTCTTTGGCAGTCAATTTGAGAGGATTACGTTTTTGGGGTTATATTTGTGCTTAAGCAATTTTGCATTCAGTGGCATGGCAAATCGAAAATCATCCCTCTCACAGTGGGAAAAGCGAGGGTGGCAAACATCAGCGCGGTTACTCATTAATTTCTCACGAGAATATATGCACAGTGGCCGCCAAAGAAATAAGAACACGTGATGCACGCTTTGTTACTCAACATTTCTGTCGATCCTCTGAATATGCAGTGATGGGCGAATTTTTTACATTTTTACATTTACACAATTCTTTACATGGTAAAAAATGTTTTCTTTACACACTGTTCCGGTTGAAACATGCAGTAAATGAATGTTAAGATTTAAGTCCGAAATTGAGACACTATTTTTTACTATTTCTAACATTCTCAGCCAAGAAACTTAGTTAGTAATAGATATACATCTTAATCGCCAGGTTTAGGTGAAAAAAGGTTTCAAATTTCAGCTAGATTAGAAATATTAGTACCATTTCTAATTCTTGCACGGCGGTGTAAAATATGCCATTTCCCCCGCGAAAACCCGAATATATTTCAGCACACTAGATACTAACCACAACAAGGATCAAGTCCTGACTGAATCCTTGTTGATAAGATAAGATAAAAAGGAGAAAAATCAAATAATCTAATCTCCATATAAAGTCATTGAGCGCATCGAGTGTGTGACTCATCCATAGGTCGCTGGTTCATATCCGGCTCGAAGGACCATGTAAAGATTCTCTATCGGCTTTTTTAGAGAATGACTTCGCATGGAAATCCAGCAGCTTTCAATAAGTAAGCTTCCATCTTCCATTAATAATTGCAACTTCTCAGGACCACTTAGCCTTGTCCGCAGCACCTCCAGTGCTTCTTTCAGCGGCTAAGTCTCTGGCTAATATCAGCGGCACTCTTGCCATTCATATTAGCGGCCAGAGTCGGCTCTTTCCCTGCCTCTCACCAGCGGCTGCTCCTCTTCAAAGGAGCTCCAGTAAAAGCGGCAGTAGAGAAAGAAGTATTTTCTGAGGCTAAACCATAAGTTCAGTGCAAATCAGGAGGCACTCACCAGGAAGAATTCTTGCTTAAGCCCGGTGGCATTGAATTGCCGTTGACCGAAGGCATTTTTCAGTCCATACAGGACGCGCCTTGCACTGTTGCAGAAGATACTTTGTTCTCTAGAGGGAGCAAGGGGACCTCTTGAAGAAATCGAGAGGCGACTTTCGTCCAAGCAAAGTAATTCTCTAAAAAAGCCGATAGAGAATCTTTATACACACTTTATTTTTTACATGTTAAGAAAAAATGTAAAATGAAAATTGGGCTCAATTTTTCGAATCGAACATTTGTTAATATCGGGAATTTACTTCAGGCGTTTTTCCATGAAGCCAAAATTATTAAGAGTTTTGTGAATTTTACACCCTCGTTTAGAGCAATTAAGACCAAAATGTACAGACAGATTTCTCGGTTTTATGGTTCTTAGGCAAAACTTTAATCTCTTGCAATCCTTGAAATTCATGCCAAGATATTTGCTAAACATGAATTTTTCCCGCTGTGCATTCTGGATAAGCATAATAAGCAATCGTCACATTGTCCTTTTCGTTAGTCGTGGTTCGAAATTGTGTTCTTTCATTCATTCTTGACGAAAGTTGTAATTCCGTGAATATGTCGGGGCGAAAAACTTATGAAAAATATCAGAAGTTCAGATTTGAATTAGTGATTGAAAAAGGACAATACCTGCCATTGTGCTTAATTTGCAAAAAGACATTAAAAAAAAGTTAATAAAGTATATTTATAATCAAGAACATGTTATATTTTGATGATGAGTCTTGCACCAAAACAACGAAATGAAGCAATCGGCATGAAAATCGTCTTCTCTTGCCCAAAATCCAAAGAATGAAGTTTATAAAATGCGATCCGACATTTCTACAGATCTGTCCCAATTGCTGAATGGACATTCTTCTTCCTTGCTTGGTGTTTTCCTCGATGGTTAATCGGCAGCAGAAGCACCTCGAAAAGAATACAAAAATATACGATCAATTAGCAAATTTTCTTGTAAAATTAGAGTAAAACTTCGATATTCCATCAAACAAATGTATTGGAACATCAGTTGTTGAATTATTAACTTTACCTTACTCAATTTATGTCAACAATTTGCAGATTTTCCTGAGTTTTTCACTGTTTCTTTACAATTTTGCGACTTCTCGCGTATGTGACAAAAAGTATTTTCTGCAATTCCACGGGAATTCCACGGGAATTCCACGGGAATTCCACGGGAATTTCAGTAGTTTTTTTAAACTTCAGTAAAGAATTTTTACATTTTACTTTACATTTTACATTTTTTACACATTCTTTACATGTAAAATGTAAAGAGGTATTTTTTACCATGTAAAGGCACAACACTGGGTGGCTCTATTCAATTTAGAGTCACTGTATTTCATTGGCAGCCACTGTATTACATCCTTTCGAATCAAAGCATTATGCATTCCATCACTCAAAAATTCTCCTTGTTAAAGAGTTAAACTTCCGGCCTTTGCCAATTGAGGTGCTCCTCGAGAGCCTGATGAATTGCTGTCGAAGTCCTGATTCGCAATCTGTTCAGGGGCCGAACACCTGTTTGTTGATTGAAATTCACCTGAAGCATGTGAATTGGAGATGTTGTGCGCATTGTTGAGCAAAACGGGCGCTGCTCCTGTTGAGCAGCCCCCATTGAGTCGGGGGCGGGTGGTTATTGAAAGGTCCTGCCGCTGGCAGAGGAGTCTTGGGAGGCGTATCTGCCTGTAATTTACGGGACACTGGAGCAAATATCTTGAGGTTGTCATTCGATTTTGGGGGTGCGCCTCTTCCATTGTGACGGCACGGGTTAAAATTGGTGCTCTCGACCCACTTTGCTTCGCATTCAAGGCTCCGCACAAGGACGTAGAGACGATGAGAGTCTCTGGGGTTCTTTCAGACTCTTCTTTATCACAAAAAAAAAGATCTTCCTGGTGTTTTTCTAGGTTATGTGACACATTTAAGACATATTTAACCTCAATTTAATATTAATTCTTATGATTAAGTCGGAAAGATTGCAGAAAATTGACACTTTTCTTGATAATTGAGAGGAGGAAACGCTTTGAATTGTGCTCAAGTGTGACATAACCTCAAAAATAATATTTTGCACTTAGAAAATAATTACTTAGAACGATCTCTGACTAATTTTAGACACAAAATAAGACATTTTGAATTTATTATTCAATAATTGAAGCTATTGTTGACTTTTAAATGGCGTTTTTCGATATTTTTTGACGATATTTGAGGTTATGGTCAAAAGAACCTATTAAAATTATTACTCACAGATGTCTCTACTGACGTCTGGCCACACTGACCACTTGACAAGTGCTTCCGAGGTTCATTTTCACTTAAATTGTCCCAATTCGTTGAATATCTTTTCTTTTATGCACTGGAAACAAACACAAAAGCATTTTCTAGGTTATGTAATGTATCAAATTGATGTCTAGCACATCAATTCTCATGCTAAAATGGAAAAGATCGCTAGTAATTGGCAGAATTAAGCATTTGCAGTGTTATTCTGACACTTTGATGTCGAGAAACACAGTAAATTGTGCGAAAATTGAACATAACCTCAAAATTTTTGATTTGGACATTGAAAATGATCATTTAGAAAACTTTCTGGGCTATTTTGATCCTGAATAATCAGTTTTTGGTGATTTTGTGATCCGGAAAGCTCTCAAAATGAATCTTTGAAGGTTTATTAGTGATATTTTGAGGTTATGTTTGATTAGGACGCCCAGAATGAGCGGTTTTAAGTGGATTCTTGTAGAAATATAAGATTAAAAGCTAAGAAAATGAATTTAATCCAAGAATTAGTGTGCAAACTGTCAGAAAATAGCGACGGTTGAGATTCAAATTTGGCCACGATGGCCACAAAGTGCTTTCTAGTCACTTGATGAGTGCCAAATGAGTTCTGGCTACGCCTTTGGCTCCGCAAACGCACACACACACACGATCGGGGCGGGGGTATAAATCCATCAGTGGACACAAAACATACCCCAAACCCCAACATGCGATATACATAAATATACATTGGGGTGGTCGCACAAAAGATCCTGTTTACCCGCTCTCGAGAGCGCTGCACAATCCTGAAATTGTGCGATAGCTTAACAGTCGCCGAGGGTTTAATATTACAATGCCAAACATATTGCTGATTGTACTCACTGGCCATCGCTGAGGACAAAGGGTGGATAATATGGTTGGAAGTGGTGTACACTTTTAGCAGAAGTGTTTGGTCAGTGTTTGAGAAGTGGAAGTGTTGTAAAAATTCAAGAAATTCGAGAAATTCATCTCATTTTTCATGGTTTTCAGTCTCATAGACAAATAATAAACACTCTAAAATATTTATTTATTGCCTCTAAATGCTATAATTTCGGAAAGAAAATCTACTTTCGTCAATTTTTTCTCTAAAACAAAGACTGATCCGTATTCGTATTTGTAATAGGATCAATGGTAATTGCTATTGATGCTGCAGAGTTTTTGATTCTTGGTTTTTTCCCTGTTTTCCCGGACCAGGAAGTCAATATTTTAATATCAATTTCAACTCTTTTAGGCCATTTATTGCATTCAAAAGACATCTAATATAAAGAAGAAGAATATTTACTACATTCGAGCCTTTTTTACAATTTTATACTGAGAAGTCTTTGAGTTGCGGCTACCGCCGTCGGTCAAAACAGCCTCAGCGGGAAAAGAAAACGACAGAAAAGCCTTGCATTATTAGCTGAATTGTCCCAAAATACTTTACAAAAATTAATAC